CCCCAAAACCCCAAAACCCCAAAACCCCGTAATTCAAATAATGGATTGTATTCTTAGAATTCTGGTAAAATAAACCATGTATATATAATAATTAAATATATTTGAAAACATTTAAGCGCACGAACTGATCCCATGTACAAAGATATACCTGAAGCAAGGGGAACTCCCATCCCTGTTAAAACCCCAATTAATTTCAAAGCTAGGAAACAAAGCTTAGAGAACTCCAATAGATCTGCCATGAAAAAGCTAATAATCGCTTCATGTGTCTCGTTTGTATTCATAGTGGTGCAAGTGATCGGAGGTTATTTGGCAAACTCCATTGCCATCTTTACAGACTCAGCTCATTTGGCATCAGACATCATTGGTTTCGCCATTTCAATCATTTCATTGAAAATAGCTCAAAGACCAGCTACCAAGTCACTCTCTTATGGTTATCATAGATCAGAAGTTATTGGAACTTTGGTCAGTGTAATTTTTATTTGGGGACTTACAATATGGCTAGTATATGAGGCCACCTTAAGAATTCTAGATACCGAAGCAGAAGTTATAGGCCACATTATGCTATTTGTAGCTGTTCTTGGACTTTGTTTCAACCTGATCTAAATGAAAATCCTTCACTCTGGTGATGGTCATTATCATTTAGGAGGAGATATGAATGATAGCCATGATCACAGTCATGGACATGGACATCACCATGACAATGGCCCTAAAAAATCTGGCCATAGTAAAGTCAAGGGAGAAGAAAGCAAGAATTTAAAGGAAGGGCTGATAGTTGATAACGAAAACTAAGCTACCAGAGATGCAGAACATCATGGTCATCACCATCATGAAGAAGAAACAACTAACATCAATATTACTAGTGCTTACTTACATGTTCTTGGAGATATGTTGATGAGTGTTGGAGTTGTTATAGCTTCAATCATTATTTACATTGAACCATCATGGAAAATTGCTGATCCTCTTTGTACTTATCTCTTTTCAGTTATTATATGCTTTACAACCATCCCAGTCTTTAAGGAGTGCATTAACGTGTTACTCGAGGCAACTCCAACAAGCATAGATGTTGAATAACTAGAATAAGATATTCTAGATTGCCAAGGAGTAGAGGAAGTCCACGATTTCCATGTTTGGGCTATCTCAGTTAGTAAATACTCAATGAGTGTTCATATCAAATCAGACACTCCACTAAAGTCATTGAGTCAGGTTACAGATTTGTGCAGAAGATAATACAAGCTTTTCCATACAACAATCTAAGTAGAATCAAGTGGAGATAATAAGCATCAATTCATATGTGAGAATGATCTTCACGATTGATTACATCCTTTTCTCAGTAATTCTTTACTTTCTAGGTACAATGTTGAAGTAATTGGGTTAATTACGGAAACTAAGCTACTTGGATATTTGATAATAGTTTATTATCTATAATCACTTAACTCAAGTCAATTATTTATTCCTATTATACTCACATTATATACTACATTATATTATTAATATCCATAAACTAATACTTAACTCAATAAAGTATCTATCATTTTCTAGGGGTTTTGGGGTTTTGGGGTTTTGGGGTTTTGGGGTTTTGGGGTTTTGG